GCTGCCGGCACTTGTGACTGACTCTCCAGTAGCAAATGAACATGTCCAGTCCAATGCTCAGGAGAGACCCGACCATCAACAAATGACGAGCACAGCACAGAACTCTTGAGATCTGCCAACCGCAAACGGGTATGTGTGTAGCCCAGCATTTGTAAATGTCCCTTCAGTATCATGGCGCCCAACACATCCCTCCACTTGTGCGTGGTTCGGCAGGAGCCAAATGCTCTCGCAGACAATAGTGAGTAAAACAATGTGCGAAGGGGAGAAGCCTCCTGCCCGTTACTCCTTCTCAGGGCTGGCACTGTGACCCTCCAGGTGTCCAGCACCCACTCAGATTGCCAAGGCTTGCTCTGAGTGACAGTGGGTGATCTCTAAGGGTGAAATTCACCCCTGGGCCAAGGGCTGGCCCAAGCCCTGCACCACTTAAATCCTCTGTGCTCACATGGGGCTGCAGGGGCACAGACCTGTGCCCAGGGGTGAATCTCACTCCACCTGAGCAAAGGGGGATTTCTTTTGAAACCCTCCTGGAGCAGATCTGCAGGGCTCTGCAGAGTGCACTCGCTGCCTGCCGGCTCCTTCAGAGCCCAGGACAAGCCTTTGACCAGTGCCCTGCTTGTGGGTGTCGCATGAGCTCTTTGTCTGGAAGTCACTCTGAGCGCTATTGACTAAATAAATGGCATGTTAATGGCCCAAGCTCCCTTGTGAACACAAATCCAGTACATGGCTTTGGAGTTGTGGCTATCGCAGAAAGTGAAGCTGGAAAGGGCCCATTAAGTCACTTTATCCTCCCACAGGGCCAGTGCAGGATTGTTCCTATAGTGTTTTCATTAGTGCTTTAGCCAGTCTAATTTTAAATGTCCCACTTTCCTTGGAAGAGGATTCCACATGCTAATAAACCTCACAATTAAACAATGTCCCTGAAGTTGGTCTGACTTTCCCTTTAATTAGCCCCCCCATTACCACTGGGGTGCTGCAGTAACTCCTTTCCCTCTGTGATGCTTACACATAGGGGTTTATCCTATTTCTCCTCTCCTCTCTAATCTTCGTTTAGCCCGCCAAACACATTTCATCCCTTTAATCTTTCCTAATAAATCAACCCCTCCAGCCCCCTCACACCATTTGTTGCTCCTCTCCAGATTTCTGACACTTTGCCAACAACTTTCTGGTGTTTAGAACCCAGGATATTTGTACTTGGACCACGTCTCACATAGGCGGCCACACCTCATTATCCCCATTTCACTGATGGGACTCAGAGGCTGAGTGACTCGCCCAAGATCGCTCCGCAGGTCAGGAGTAAAACCCAGGACTCCTGACTCCTGGTTCAGTGCCTCGTCCATTGACCCGCTGAGGAACGTACCCAGAATTCTAGCTGTTGATTTCCCTGCTCTTACATGACACCTCTACATGTGCAAGCCAAATGAGAATTGGGATTTTAGCATAAACTAGCACAGCCATACTGCACTCCAAGTGTTCATCCAATTTGCTGTCCATTATTAGTCCTACGTCTTTTCCCACGTTACTGCTTTCCGGTTACCTGCCTCCCATGGAATATCTGTGTTTTGGGTTATTCCTCCCCGAATGGATTAGCTGCAACTGCCCAGGTTGAATCTCATTGTATTTTCTGCCCATGTTTCTACTCTCTCTTGGTCCCTGGGGGTTATTTCTCTGCTCTTCCTGGTATTTGTGGTGCTTCCCAGTTGAGTGTCATCTGCATAGCTAATTAAATGTGCTGTGTACCTAAAAGGCTGATCCCTGCTGCATCCAACTTCTCTGCCCCCCGTGCCCTCCAGCCTCAGTACATTGCTGATCTCATTACTGTAAGAACCTGCAGGACCAGAACCTGAGACTATGGGGGTGCCAGGCTATGACACTTCTGCATCGGGTTTCCGCTGGGGGACCCTGTGGAGCTAGACACTGCAGGAAGTACCGACCAGCAAGGCCTGAGTGACAGCCCCCCCCACAGCCCACTGATTGGCCCAGGCTGGTGTATAAACCAGGAAGTCATCACAGGGAGCTGTCTGAGCAGTGACGCATACTGGCTGCTTGCTTCCACTCCAGACATTGGCTTGCTCTGAACCCCAGACTCTGGCCCCTGATCCTGGCTCAGCCTTGACTCCGCCGCTTGGCTCCTGCCTGCAGCTTGGGGCTTGATCCTGACGTCCTGGAATCCTGACCCCCAACTCCTCTACTTGTCTCCTGACCGCAACTGGATAACGGATCTGCGCACACAGGCTGCCCGTGGCCCGGCCTGTCGGTACCCATCATTGCAGTGCAATCCACATGACAGTGCACAATCTTCAAGACAATTAGAATGAACTGTTTCAAGTAAAGTTTTCTGAGACTGCGACCAATGTTTTATACATGCTCTCAAGGTACCACAGTACTGCATGCCACAAGGGCCTTATCCAGCATGGAAGGAATGCAAGATCAGGCCTTAAATATGCAATGCAGTCCTGCTCGTCTGGAATGATTTGTCCTTAAATCCAAGCCACTCATTACTTCTGGTGCTGTCATCTTCTAGGTGCTTGGTATTTGTTCCATTGCTTTACTAGGGACTGTAGGTAGAGTTCTTAGCCATTGCCGGGAGCACCTCCTTCCCCTCCTGCTCTTACCCCTTTGAAAAGGACATTTACCACATTTGCTTTCTTCCGCCTACTGATACCTGCCTGGTTTTCCATGATGTAATCAATAATAGTCAGTGTTGGAGGAAGTTTATAACAATTTAACACTTTTCCTCTGCAAAAGCTTGAGTGTAGGCTTGGCTGGATTAGATTTTTATTGGTAAATGTCAGTAAACATCAATTTCACTGTACACACACACACCGATAGACAAAATAAGTTTCCATCTATGATGATCAAGCTTTACAGATAGGCAAAGTAAGAACAATGCTGCTTGAGAACTTAGAGTTTGATTTAAGGATATTTCCTTTGTGTATTTTGACATTTTGTGTTTTAATGGTTATAAAGCTTTAACTTTTTGAGTCACAGACACAGTCATTAAATAATTATCTAATCCCCACATAATTTCCTGAAACTCTGAACATTCACATCAATGAAATAAAAGTACTATTATTTTTGTTTTATCCATTTTGTCACAGCCGCTATCTTAGAGAGTGATCTCCCGGGTTCCTATGTGATACTTTAAGATTAGTGTTTTGGGGATGGGGGGACTGCTTATTACTTCTATAATATCTATACTGTGGTAGGGCCTACAGTCTCCAATCTCATAGTGCCAGGCCCCTGTCAGAACATAGAAAATAGACCTTTCTCCCGAGCTGACATTTCTTCCACTCATGCAGCGAGGAATGAAGCAGGTGCATGGACTGGAAAGCTTGCTATCTGTAACAAAGGTGGGGGTGAGGCAGCATCTGCTAAACCTTCACATTTTCAAATCAACAGGTGAGATACCTTATCCCCCAGAGTCTTAAGAGAGCTAGTGGAGGAATTATCAGAATCACGAATGTTAATTTGTAAATTAGCTGGGGTGATTCCTAGGGGTTGCAGGACTACCAATGTAAATGCCAATATTTGAAAAGGGTAAAAGGGATGATCTTGGGGTTACAGATGGGTTAACCTGATATCAAGCCCAGGTAAAATTAGAGAACTGTTAATTCAGGACTCTATCAATACAGAATTAGAGGCTAAAAATACAATTAATGCCAGAAAGCGTGGTTTTGTGGATGGTAGGTCTTGTCAGACAAGCCTGCTGTCTTTTTGACAAGTTTACAGGTCTGGTTGATAAATGCAGCTGTGTTGATACAATATACTTAGATTTATTTAAGGCATTGGACTTGTACGACATGACATCTTGATTAAAAAAACTTGCATCATGTGGAATTAACAGGGCACACATTAGATGGATTAAAAACTGGCTCACTGACAGACCTCAAAATGTGGTTGTTAATGAGGAGATATCAACGAGTGGGGCCATTACTTACCAGGTTCCCCCAGGGATGGGTTCGGAGTCCAACTCTATTTAAAATATTTATCAATGATCTAGAAGAGGATATAAAATCTCTTCTGGTAAAGTTTGCAGACGACACAAAGATTAGTGTGGTAGTAGATAATGAGAGTAGAGTGATCTGATTCGCCTTAATACAGCCAATGCAAGGTAATACATCTGAGAACCAAGAAGGCAGGATGTATCTACAGGATGTGTCTTGGAAAGTGGTGAGTCAGAGAAGCGTTTAGTGGTCATCATAGGTAATCGCCTCAACATGTGCTCCCAGTGCAACGCTGTGGCCAAAAGGGCTAACGTGGTCCTTGGAGGTGTGAAAAGGGGACTATCCAGTAGGAGTAGGGAGGTGAACGTTGTACACCTCGTTGGTACGACTGCTGCTGGAACACTGTGTCCGGTCCTGGGGTCTGCACCTCAGGAGGGATGTGGAAATCCTGGAGATAGTTCCAAGGAGGGGCACAACAATGACCCCGGGTCTGGAAAACAAGCCTTGTGGTGTGAAGCTTGTGGCACTCAGTCTGCTCAGTTTGTTGAAGAGAAGCTGAGAGGGGATGTGATCACTGTGCCCGGAAACGCAGAAAGGGGATCTGAGTTGTGGGGGGAGGGAGGGGGGTCTTTACTACCTTGCTGACAAGGCAGAACAAGAATCAGTGTCTGGAAGTTGAAGTTAGACAAATTCACCCTTGAAATGAGATGCCTTTTCCTAGCTGTGAGGGTAACGAAATATTAGACCAGCTTCCCAGGGGAGTGGCAGCCTCACCACCACGTGGGGCCTTTGAGGAGATTAGCTGTCTTTCTAGAGGCCATGCTTTAATCCAGCTTCTGGGGAACATTCTGCAGCCTGTTATACAGGAGCTCAGCCCAGACGATCACTGTGGTGCCTCTGGCCTTAGAATCGATGGGATCGAAGTGTAAATAACTTACAGGCACAAGCTAGCGGCGTTATAAAAGCAAAGCTTCAGGAGTTTGGTTTATAACCCAAACTCCCAACGTTCTGCAGCTGCCAGAGGAGCATTAACCGTGTCTGTTTCTCCCTTCACAGAGCTTCCCCTGACCCTGTCACCCTCAACGGAAGCACAGGTATGTCGCTAATGTGATTTTTCAGAAAACTGTTCAAGCAAATAAATCTCATGTCTTGTGTGTGTGGATGTGCACAGACGGTTTCTTTTTAAACCCAAACAGAGCTCTGATGACAGCATTAGCTCATCCCCTTTCTAGACCAGCTGCTTCTTGCAGTGTCCTGGCCTTTGCACCCGCTGGGTCCTGCAGTCAGCATGCATGGTGGGGCCTGAGGGAGGAGGAAGCATTGTGCCCCATGATTATTATACACAGGAAAACTCCATTCAAAAAAGCATGATGTGGCCATTTGGGGAACACCTCTCGCTGACTCCCGCTCTGGTGTCAGGCCTCAGGCCTTTCCCTCTCCTGGGGTGAAGTAACGTGAGTCTCTCGCTCTTAGACCAGGCCCTGAGCTACATCAACCAGCGTATGGGTGATCGGACTGAGTTCGGCACTTGCGGTTCTTCCCAGCGGGAGTCTGAGACCAATGGGGATTCTAGACTGACCAGCCAGCCAGCTTGTTTAATATTAACAGTAGGAAGAAATCATAACATAAGAGAAAAGGGGGTTTAAACCGGCAAACAGTCTGCACGCATGTCTAGCTTACTTAGAGCTTACCGTTCCCTGATGGCAGCTTAGGAAAGCCTAACATCTTCGGACACCCCAGCGCTGTCTGTGTGTCAGTCTGAACACCTCAGCAACAACTGCCTGACCTCCGGACAGTCTGCCTTTTTAATGCTTCGGTCCTTTTGATCTGCTGGCCCCAGCACTGGGAGAGCAAGCTTTGTAATGGGGCTTATTGCTCAGGCATTGTCGCTTAACCACCCTGAAGAGCTTACTGGGAGTTGGCGTATCTTGAACTGTTGTTCCACTTCCAGCTTGTTTTTCCAGCAGCCTGCTGCTAATGTAACCAACACATCCATACAGTGAGCACCCCAATACCATGTCACACACACAATTCACCAGTTGTCACAGAGCAGCCTGGGTCTGTCACACCCTTCTCAGGGGAAAGATTCAAGGACTGAGCTAAGAATATAGATGGGTCACTGATTGATTCTCCTCCTGTGTAACCATGTGCCCTGACAGAGAGCAGGGAAGAGCCAGAGGCTGCTGTAAATATGGCCATTAAAGTACTGACTGAGTGCAGAGGTCATGACCTGCCCAGATACACAGAGCCAGAGAAGCCGGGAGGCCTTCCAGGGCATTCAGTCTCTCCCAGGTTGCAGTGACTAGCCTCAAAGCATGAAAATAATGGGACAGGTGCAGCGCATCTTCTGGCATTACAGGGGCCGGTTCCTTTCTGCCACTGCCTGGCGCGGTGTCAGCAGGCTGGGCAATCGCTGCTCTCAAACCATCGCTCCCTTTCCCTGCTCCATCCGCACGTGTACCTGGTGCGTGTGAAGGGGCGGCAGCTCCAACCGCTGGCCTGGTTCCAGGTCACGGCTGCCGATCCAACGCCCCGCTGCATACGCTGTGTGCTGCCTTCACTGCCCTGGTGGCCGGGTGGCTCTTGTTTTTGAAATTGGACGCACATTTTTTTGCCCTCTGCCACTGGCTGGCGTTTCATATTTTACCAGCCAATCAGACTGCAGCATGAGTGACTGTGCTCAGTGAAATTGGCCAAAGCAAACTCCAGCCAGTTAGAAACACAGGAGAGCGACCAGGCTGCTTTTACTATGTGATTAACCAATTGTAGAACTGCAGGAGAGCATTTGAAATGGGTTAATTGTCATATGAACCAAGGTGTAGCAAGGTGTAGGCAGAGATAAGCTGTCAGCGCAGCGGCCTTTGTAGACTGCCGCACGCTGTGTTTGCCCAGGTTAGGAATGTATCCCGGTCCAAAGTTCAGCCCGTTTCTGGCTCCTTTCCACTCTCCCTGCCTGAGTGACTTTCTCTCCCTTCCCCCGCCCCCAATGGCGAGTGTTTTCTCTCCTCCCAGGGCGTCTGGGGTAGCTAACAGTGCAGTGCCTGTTGGTCCCAGCAGGACTGTTCGCAGAACCTTTGCTGCTTCTTTCCCTCAATCCCCTGGGCTGGCTCATGCTTCCCTCCACTCCCAGGATAATGGAGTCACGATAAACAGCAAAGGCCTCGAAGATTCCTGGGGGGCAGGGGAGGCAGCCATCTTCATGGCCCAAACAGCATCATAAGCCTCTCCCAGCCAGCACGTAAGGTCATGGGACACTGGGGCTGGTGGAAGGGGTATCTGTCACCATGTATCCTACAGCTCCCTCTCCACCCACCTGCCAGCACGGAGCCCCTTTTCTCTCATACCGCTCCAGGCAGCTTTGCATTGCAGGCTTCATGGGAAAGCCGATGGGCTGTATCTAGACACAGGGCTGAGGAGGCTGGGGCTGGAACATGGAGCTTTCACTTCCAGGTCACCAGCTGGCACCATCCCTGCTTGTTACTAATCGTATCAGTGAGCCTCTCTGGGGGGGACAGGGTGGGACAGGGGTCTCTCTAGGTGTGGCCAGACTCCCCCCAGACTCAGCACTACCCTTTGCGCAGGAGTTCTCAAACTGGGGGTCGGGACCCCTCAAGGGGTCGTGAGGTTATTACATGGGGGGTCACGAGCTGTCAACCTCCACCCCAAGCCCTGCTTTGCCTCCAGCATTTATAATGGTGTTATAAGTTAAAAACACTTTTTAATATATTTAAAAGGGTCACACTACGTGAAAGGGGTCACCAGTACAAAAGTTTGAGAACCACTGCCTTCGCGGGAGCCAAGTTTGGTAATACACAGCAGGCTCACTAGGGGGTGCTACATGGTGATGGAAATCCTCCAAATGGCAGCAGTATGTGAAACGCATGGGCAGGCGGGTGGAAGGAAAGCATGATGTGATACCTGGCCCATTCCAGTGCTTGGCTACAGAGCTTTGTGATGCCCCCTCCCATGTCATGTGCCCTCGGCCAGCGTCCTAGCGCTGAAATCAATGTTTCTAGCTCTTCCTTGCCCTCCAGATGGGCGGCATAGCGCCTGCTGGCTGCCCAAGACCCAGTGGGCAGATGGGTAAGGCTGTGCGCCCAGCATCTAAACAACACCTTGTGCCCTTCCGGCTGGCCACCTCCCCTGTGTGTGCCCTGGCATTGTTTGGGGGCAGAGATCGCAGTGCAGCTACACTGGATGTCTCAGCCTCCTCCCCTCCGGAGGCATCTCAGCGTAACTGGCCTTTCCCAGCCCCAGCCTCAGCCGCTGCTCTGCTCTCCTGTTTCCTTGCAGATGGTGCAGTCGCTGGGATTTGCCATTTACCGGGCGCTGGACTGGGGGCTGGACGAGAGTGAGGAGCGAGAACTGAGCCCCCAGCTGGAGAAGCTGATCGACCTCATGGCCAACAGCGACTCTGACGACAGCGGCTGCGGCATGGCGGACGAGGGCTACGGGGGGCAGGATGAAGAGGAGGAGGCTGTGGAGGGGCTCCCACGAGCCGTGCGCACCTTCGGGCAGGCCATGAGGATGTGCGCCGCTCGCCTGACAGCCCCCCAGGAGGCACAGCAACATTACCAGGCTGTGTGCAGGGCCCTCTTTGTGGAGACGGTGGAGCTGAAGGCTTTTCTCAGCAAGATCCGGGAAGCTAAGGAGGTGAGAGCCAGCCTTCCCCGCAGGAGCCTGGGGCGACCCGTCCTTCCCGAGAGCCAGAGCGTGTGGCAGTGATGCACGGCTAGCTGCCCACAGCCTGTGGTACTGCCATAGGGATTGGCTGGGAGGCTTCTTCACCATTTGCCTTGCCCTCTAAGCCGCTGGTGCTGCACTCTGGCCCAGAGGGGGCAGCATCTGAGTGTTGGGTGAAGTCGCCCCTGAAGAAACGCTGCTCTTCATGTTGCATTAAGGACCTGATTCCCCACTGCTTTGCTGCAGCGTTATGCCAGTGAGTGGAGTCACCCCGGTGTAAAAGTGGAGTAACACAGAGCTACCGAGGCCCCCCGGTGTGTAAAGCACTGCAGATCTCAGGGCCCTGGTAGCTGGGCATCTACTCCCTAAGGGAAATCCTTAGAAATCTGCACCTCTAACCGTCGGAGGGACCAGGGTCGGGGGCATCCCTGGGATTTCCTTCTGGCTTTTGTTCTCCGGGATGGCTGGTGAAAGCCAGCCATTTGATGCCAACAGACTGGCTTCTCCATTCCCACAGTGGCTCCGGACTTTGCTCTCACCCAGGTCATGCTCTCCTCAGTGATTCTGGTGCAGGGGCCATACAGTAACTGGCCCATGGCCTCCCGTTCTGCCTTTTCCAAGCCTTCAGTTGAAGGGGAGGGTTTGTTGGGAGCAGGAATTGGCCTCTGTTAGTGATACAAATACTCAGTATGGCTTAGTTCCCTCTCCCCAGCTCGCACAGGACTTTGCACAGGTTCATTGTGACCTCACCCCATGTGACTCACAACATCAGAGGCACGAGGGCAGGAGAAGACATGTGAGATGCCAGGTCAGGGTTGGTCCCTACAGACTCTTCTCCAGGGCTTTGTCCAGCCCAGCATTAGGTGACTCCATTGACGGGGCTGCTACATCTCACCATGAGGGAGTGTCCCCCGATAGTCCCCAAAATCTCCCTTTGTCTTATTTCATCCTCTGGCTCCTGACTTATACCCCAGTGCCGCCTGAGACAGTCCTTCTCCCTGGGAGGGACGTGTTCTGAGCCCCATTTGACAGCAGAGCCAGGATCTCAGTCCTCTGCCCTCTGCTCTAACTGTCAGCCCCCCCGTCCCCCTCCCCAGGCCTCTGTCCATGGTGTGCCAGGGCCCAGAGGAGGCGGCCTGCCATGTGCATTTCGCCCTGGCGCTGCTCCCAGGGCAGAGCCAGGATCGTATTTATAAAAATGGGACACCCGGAGAAATCAGGAGGTAAGCCCCCGAGACCCTTGATAGCTAGGCAGAGAGGTGGTTCACTAGCTTTCTGTGAGAGGTTTCCCTATATCCTGGTGTGGGGAGGGGCGACAGAGTCCCCGACCCTAACACAGCGCTGCCATTCAACAGCTAATTTCAGCTCCTCTGTCTCGTTTTAAAAGGCCGTGTCCCACCCCAGCCCTGACTGATAGTTGCACACGCAGCTACCCCAGCCTGCAGCTTTCCAACCCAGGGCCCAGTGGGCTCAGTCAGGGAATTCCCAGCGTAATACCTGCGGTCCCAGTGAGTATCTCAGGTCTGCCTTCTGGTGGCCAGATACCGCAGAACACTTGCATTGGTCTATGGCCGGGACTCTACTGTTAGGGAATTAGCACTGCTGCAGGACACATGCCCACGGTCCCTGTCCCAGAGCTTTCAATCTTCAGTGAGCAGCTAGTGGGATGGGGGACTAGCTCAGGGGTCCGGAGTAGGAGAAGTAAAAGCAGCAATACAGGAATGGAGCTGTGTGCATCAGAGCACCCCGCTGACTGCTCCATTGCCAGACCCAGAGGGGCAGACCCTTGATTCTCTGGGAAGGCCTGGGCTGGTCTAGGAGGGCAGGAGTCTGAATCTTTGGCTCTTCCCAGTGTACCGAGCTGCTCTAGCCTAAGATGATGATGATGACTGATATTGTGATAGTGCCCAGAGGCCCTGGTCAGGATCAGGGCCCCATTGTGCTGTACGCACACACAGTACAAGACTGTCCCTGCTCCACAGAACTTAGCATCTCGCCCAGCAGCAGACCCCACGGCGGGAGAGAGGGCAGAGCAATCCGGCAGCAGCTGGACCCCAGGCTGCAGGGCTGAGTTGTGTGCATCAGTCGCTGGCTTTGAGTCTGTTTGGTTTGCTTTTCTCTGCCTCTCCTCCCGGAGGTGGTAATGACCCCCTAGCACAGCCATTGTGTGTGGTGCTGTGTGAGACGCAGCCCCTGACCTGACAGGACCTGCAGGGGAGTCTCCAGAACGCTCCACGAGGCCCAGCATTTGCCTTTGCAGGGGAGTGAATCTGCTGCACAGCGTCACCATTCCCTACGTGACGGGCGGGGTCTTCAAGACCCCATTGGCATTGGGGGGTTGGTGTCTTGTGGCACCTGCTCTGACACAAGTCAGGCAAACCCGCAGTCCCAGTCTTAAGGGGGTTAAAGATTAAGCTGCAGTTTCCTAGGATTGCCTTGAACTCCACCCTTACGGGTAATCACAAGGCAATCATCTGTTCCAGGAAGCGATCTCATCAATCCAGGAATTGATGGGGTCAGCGGTGTCACCAAAGAGGCTGTTCACTTGCTCATTAACCTTATGAAACAGCTCAAGAAAAATGTATCCACCTCCCCTTGCTCATCCATCCCGACACCCGTGTCTCCAGCAATGCCTGGGGCATGAGTTGTGGTGGGCTCCAGAAATGCCACGTAGGGAGCCTGATATCGTGCTGGGCATTGCCGTGCCTGGTGGAGGGGAGAATTGCTGAGCTGCTGTGGGGGGGAGAGGGAGAGGCTGTGACCCCATTTATAGATGGGAGGAAGCAGGGACCCGCTGACTGCAGTAAGCACTCATCCGATGTTGGGCATGTGGCAGAGAGGTTCAGCAGTCTGAACACTGGAAGGGAAACCCTGTATATATTTGGGGTCACAAGATGATGGCAGGACGATGCAGACTGCCCCATGTCCACATGCTGTGGATGCCCTTCCCACATGGGCATGAGTACCCATTTCCCAGGGCAGCCTGGAAATAAGGCGCACCTTTTTAACAGTGACCGTCATTAACCCCTGGGGCAATCTACCCAGGGTCGTGGCAGAATCTCCAGGACTGACAGCTTTTACATCAAGACGGGAATGTTGTTTTAGAAAATCTGCTGTAGGACTTATTGTGGGGCCGTTCTCTGGCCTGTGCTATCCAGGAGTCAGACTGGATAAGCCCAGTGGTCCCTTCTGGCCTTGGAATCTATGCAGACCTCTGACACTGCAGCTCCTGGGCACAAGCAGCAAGGCATGAGAAGGTTCCCTCAAGTCCTTCACAGCAGGCCCACACCTGCCCAGATGCACTGTCCCCGCTGGTAATGACATCCAGGAGGCAGCTGCAAGCAGCCACCATGTTATTACCCAGCTCCATGCAGCAGGCACGCAGGCCATGCGGGATGGGTCGGGCTGTGGGGAAGGTTTAAGATTGCCAAAGATGATCTGATGCAGGCAGAATAGGTGAGGGGCCAAATACTGACCCTATAGTTCCCCTACCCACTCTGCTGACTTCCTGGCTCTCCCGGGTAGTTTGAACAGGCTGGCCCAGGTCCTTCCAGCCGAGGGAAATGCACCTTCCGTTATTTCAGCCATGGGTTAGAAAGTCTGCAGCATATTCCCGGGTGCCGCCCTGGGCAGTTGTCTGTGCACCAGCCAGAGTGCAGGTCAGGCCAGATGCCGCACGGTGGAAGCAGATGATGCTTCAGCATCACGTGAGATGAGCCTGGGAAACACAACCGCAATTTGCCAGCAATGATAGGGTCTCAAGGTTTTCTCAGTGGCGGCCAGGCTCTGATCTGCGGTGGGTTTATTAGCAATAAATAATAGTTCTCATTCCTCTGCTCCTGTCAGTCCAAAGGCTCCCAGAGCGTGTTCCAAATTACACACACAGCTCCAGTGAAATGCAGCCCCCTCTGGGGGGAAGGCAGTAACCATCCATCCCTCCCAACGCGGTAGGGCGGTGACATACCCTCCTCTCCCAGGAAGTGCCATGGGACCTTTAACATCTGGACCGAACAGGCAGGGCCTCAGCGTGCCAGACAGTGAACTGCATGGAAATGGAAGTGTCCAGAGCTTCTCCTGGGGCACACGTTGCTGCTGGGGAAGACACAGGGGCTGTGCTCAGAGTCCATTCCAGGGGCTCCCAGAATCCAGGGGGGTGCGAATCCATCTCCCATCGTCCCCCCCAGGTGCTGCACATGGCTCAGTCGAGATGGAACAGTCCTAGGATGTATTTGGCGAGACCCACAAGCACATTCCCTTGGGGCCCAGCATGCTCCTGGCTAAGAACCCCCCCCCCTCCCCCGGGCTCCAGTCAATGGCACCTGGACAATCTCCCTGCCCAGCTCTCTACCCTAAGCTGTGGTTAACAGCCCCAGCTAGGGCAGTGGGTGGCTGGGGTCAGACCCAATGCATGCCCAGACTTGTGGCTGCTGTAGAGTAGCTCCTTGGGGCAGGGACCAGGCCTTCTTTGTGACTTGTACCTGGCCAGGCGCATTCAGTGCCCAGTAGCCTATGGCAGCTGAGCCTTGTGGAGCTGGGATGGAGCTCCTTGGCCCCGCAACCCCCTACTGGGAGTGTAATTGTATCCGGGGGGAGGGACTGGCAGGTGGGGGCCGAGGATCTGGGCACTCTTTCCTCATGCCCAGGGGTCCCTCTTTTTATGGGACCTGTTCAGCCAGGATTCTCCGAGGCGCATGTTGGGCTGGTGAGGTGCTGGGGACCCAGCATGGGGAACGTGACATTTCTGTGCTGCTGCAGATGCTGAGGAAGCTGAGGGAACAGGAGGAGGCGCAGGAGGAGAGGTCGACGGATGAGCTCGATAACCTGCGGAACACAGACTGGGTAAGTGGCGCAGGGTCGTCTCCCTGCGGGCACTTTGAGCAGCAGCTCTTGCCTTGCAGGAGACCGAGGTAGTGCGGGGCTGATGGAAACCTGTCCGGGCATTCTTGTTTTGGCAGCCTAATGAACAGACAGAAGAAGCACTTGGGGAGAAGGGCTGGGATCCCGCGGGCCCAGAGGTGCGGGAACCTGCAAGCACCGCTGGCTTAGACCTGTCACTGGGGAGACCCAGTCGTTCCTGGGACAGCCGGCACCGGGGTGCCGCAGAGACAATGTGCTCAGCCCTGCAGATTTATATCACCTCTGGCCAACCAAGGGGACGCTGATGGGCCATTCCATCCAGCCTGGCCTGCTGGTGCGTGTGGGAGAGCATCACGAAAACGGGGGAGCCTTTGGGGAGCTCCCGCGTCCCACTGGGGACCCCTTCAAGGACTGGCTACAGATCCCTGAGAGAGGTAGAACGATTGCTGCCATTGCGATCACTGGGAGGAGCGCAGAGAGTGTTGGGAACGCGGAGGGGAGGGTGGGAGTGAGGTGCACTGGACAGGTCATAGCTAGAGAGTGGGGCACTGACCCTGCCTCCTCACCATCAGGGTCATAATCCAGAGCCTCCCCCCCGCCCCCCAGGGAGCAGGAGAGCTGGGAAGGGAATGGACACCTTTGCAGTACAGACACTGCCCTCTCACCTCAGCCTGCCCAGCAGGGAAAGCCACAATAGCCAGCCCCTTGGCTTTGGCATGGACCAGGACGTGGGTGGTCAGGCCCAGTGGTCGGAGCAGCGGCGCTCCGAGCCAGTGTTAGGAATCAGGAGCCCAGTGAAGGGCTCAGGAACCAGGAGGAGGGCTGGAACAGGCTGGAGCAAGGCAAACGCAGGAGAGATCACCACTGCAGGCGAGTGTGTTGAGCAGCCATTGGCCAAGTGCGGCAATGCTGCTCAGCCAGACAGGCCATCTGGCCAGTTTTGGCTGTGGTGGTCAGCTAATCCCAGGTCTGGCTGCAGGCCCTCGTTCCTGACAAGCTTCTGGGCATAGTCACACACTCTAGACTGGAAGCCGCTTGCCACCCCCATTGGAGTTAGAGGGGGGAAGGGCAGTGGGAGGTGACCCCGTCCATCTCCCTGCCAGTGCAGAATTGTTCCTCACACCAGGGCTAAGCATGCTGCCATCCGCCTGCCAGGTCAAGTCCCAGTGGCGGGGGGAGCATACAGAGCCCCCGCTGGGCTCCGTTCACAGGGCTCATGTCCCATGGTTAGCTGGGGCTCCCTTCCCCCAGGAGGAAACCTGTGATGCCGCGGGCTCATCTCCTCGGTAAGGGGCAGTTGCCCATTGTGTCTGTTCCAGGCCCGGCTGTGGGTGCAGCTGATGCGGGAGCTACGCGACGGTGTGAAGCTGAAGAAAGTCCAGGAGAAGCAGTACAACCCCCTACCCACCGAGTACCAGCTGACGCCCTTTGAAATGCTGATGCAGGACATCCGGGCACGCAACTACAAGCTTCGCAAAGTCATGGTGAGCACAGTCATACCCAAGGGGCCTGAGCCACGGCCAGGGGGTGACTGCCATGGAGTGCAAGGGTCCTAGTGACACACCATCTGCCTTTGGGCTGGAGCCCCCCCACCTCCACCTCCTGGACCAGTTGATGCTGAAGGCCTAGCTCATCATAGGGCTCACGCTACTGCTGGGACCTCCCTCACTGGGCATTTCAGAGCCACCCCCAGGGTAATACATGCCCCTCCACAGAACAACTCACCCTAGTGCCTCTGCAGAGCCGAAAATCCTAGGACTGGAAGGGAGTTCAAGAGGTCTGTGATGGGTTCCTCCCAGGGTGCCACCCAGAACTGGGGTACCACTGAGCCCCCTGACCCACCAGCCTGGGCTCCCTCTCACACTGTACTGCTATGACAAGCTGCAGTGCCCTCCAGCCTGCACTTTCACCAGCATTCACACAGGTAGGGACACACCCAGCTGCAGTTACATGCAGGCTCTCTGACCACCAGCTTCCCAGCCTGGGATCCAGAGCAGTACGTCCTGCCCTGGTCAAATCTGGCCAGTTTATGGGTTTAATACCAGGTCCGCCTCCCCCTCAATGTGAAGAGAACAATGCACACTTGTGGAAACCCAGCCGAGATTTTCCCCAAGCACTCCAGTCACAGCTCACTGGTTTAGATTAAAACAAAAACAAGTTTAACAACTACGAAAGATGGATTTTAAATGATTATAAGTGATAGCAAACAGATCAAAGCAGATTACCTAGCAAATAAACAAAAAATGCAAACTAAGCTTAATATGCTAGTGAGATTGGATATGAATTAGCTGATTTTCACCCTAAGAGATGATACAAGCAGGCTGCAGATCCTTTACAGCTTGGAGTCCCCAGGTGTTTCATTCACAGGCTAGAAATGCCTTTAGCCTGGGTCCAGCAGTTCCCCCCGTTCAGTCTTTGTTCCTCAGGTGTTTCCAGGACTCTTCTTGTGTGGAGAGTGAAGAACCCCAGTGATGTCACTCCCTGCCTTATAGAGCTTTTTGCATCTGGCGGGAACCCTTTGTTCCAAAGCTTGGTTCCTAGGCCAGTCTGTGGAAAAACACTGACATCCCAAGATGGAGTCCTGCATCACATGTCCTTGTAGAGTCACAGCAGCCATCACTCACAGGCTGTCTGGAGTGTTCTCAGGGAGGCTCATCACCAGGTGGGAGATAAGCTTCTCCTAAGGCCTATTGTTCTCCCTAATGACTCACTGCCCTGAATAGGCCCTTCCCCACCAGGTACACATCCTGTCTAGGGGGCGTTACCAGGTGTAACTAGATTTGAAGTACAGATACATAGTCAGTATTTACAACTTCAGATACAAATGACACATGCATACAAAGAGGATAATCATATTCAGCAAATCATAACTTTTCCAATGACGCCTCACATGACTTATCTTGCATAAAATATATCATAATATGCTATAATCATATCATAATAGCACTATGAAGAATATGGGGTGCAGTGTCACAAGGTCATCTAGTCCAGTCCCCTGCACTGAGGCAGGACCATCCCTGACAGGTGTTTGTCTAACCTGCTCTTAAAAATCTCCAACCATGGAGATTCCACAACCTCCCTGGGCAATTCATTCCAGTGCTTAACCACCCTGCCAGTTAGGAAGTTTTTCCCTAATGTCCAACCTGAGCCACCCTTGCTGCAATTTAAGCCCCTTGCTTCTTGTCCTAGCCTCCAAGGTTAAGGAGAGCAATTTTTCTCCTTCGCCTTGTAACAACCTTTGATGTACTTCAAACCTGTTATCTTGTCCCCTCTCAGTTTTCTCTTCTCCAGACTAAACAAACCCAGTTTTTTCAATCTTCCCTCATAGGTCATGTTTTCTAGCCCTTTAATCATTTTTGTTGCTCTTCTCTTGACTTTCTCCCGTTTGTCCACATCTTTCCTGAAACGTGGCGCCCAGAACTGGACACAATACTCCAGTTGAGGCCTAATCAGCGTAGAGTAAAGCGGAAGAATTACTTCTTGTGTCCTGCTAATACATCCCAGAACAATGTCCTTTTTTTGCAACAGTGTTACTCATATTTAGCTTGTGATCCCCTCTGGCCCCCAGATCCCTTTCCACAGTACTCCTCCCAGGCAGTCATTTCCTGTTTTGTAGCGTCATTAACTCTCCCTCCTCTGTCTGCCCATCCCTCTCCCCACCAGGTGGATGGTGACATCCCCCCCAGGGTGAAGAAAGATGCCCATGAATGCATTCTGGATTTTATACGGTCACGGCCGCCACTGAAACAGGTAACGTCCGGGTGAACTCTGTAGTGCCCAAACTGCGGGTTTCTGACTGACCAGGCGCTCAGGGGCACGGGAGAATCCTCGGGAGGAAACCGGTTCTAAATCACTGACTCAGTGAAAGAGCTTCCCTACCGAAGGGAGAGGCTGGCGCACTGTCCGTCAGCAGCCTTGCTCCAGTGTCCCCTTGTTACCCAGGGTTATCAGACCCCAACAGGCAGTGTAAGGAATAAGTCAACGGGAACGCAACGATTCTGTCTGACCAAGGAGAAATGCAAGTCAGCGTGCTTTTGTCTAACACTGCCGTTTATTAGGTTTAAGCACACACAGATATAAGCAATAGGTCTAGAACATCCCAGATATTTACCTATATTCTGAGACAGTATTGAGTAATCAGTCACAGATCAGCGCTGGCCAAACGCCTTCCTGCTGGACTGCTCCCAAATACCCTGTATTATCTGAACTTTTTATAACTAACTTCTACTAAACACATAGTAGGGGTCATTATAATCTAAGGCACCACTTTTCCTAACTTTCAATAAACATTTACTATCAGAGGCATCTAGACTCAAGGCTGTCCATCCACATATCTTTGTTTCACTCTGTTATTTACTTTTTCTTCCCCCTCCTCCCATACTGATTAGCAAAACTGCCAGTAGCTATGACCTTGCTTCTGAAAGCCTGTCTCCAAATTAACCCTTAACTCTGTGGTGTTCTAGTTCATTAATTCAGAGTGGCTGAGTGCACATAATATGGTTGCAATTAGCTTGATCACAATCTGGGGTATATGCTCCCCTCAAATCCAGCGCAACGCCCTTGTCCCGTGCAGTATCCCAGCACTGGAGACTGCTCTCCTCTCCGCTTCCAGGGGCACTTTCCCCTTTTCCTGGCACTTGCCTAGTGAGGAGGAGCAGATGTGAGGGCCCTGCCTGCTGCCGGCTGGGGCTGCGGAGAGAGGCTCAGCTGGGACCCTGCTGGCATGAGCTAGTGGCGCTCTTCCTTCAGCAGAACGCCTGGAGTAACACTGTGCCCTCGTGGCTGGCTCCAGGGGCAGCAGCATCGGCTTTCGGACCGAGAATCCCAGCGCTCTCTGTGGGCTCCGTTGTGATCTCTGCTCCTGGGGGGGCCAAGCACAGTACATGGGGCGATAGCGCAGTCATGGCTACTCCCCTGTCCAACATGAACAGGCAGCCTGGGGAGACGGCAGGTCTCAGGCCAACAGTGCTCTGCCTCCACAGGCCACGCTGTCCTTGTAAAAACAGGAGTGGCAACCATGTGACCTCTGTAAGGGAAGCGAGGGGCTGCCCGGGGGCTCCTTGGTTGGGGAAGTTTGGGCAGCCCAGGTTCACAGCTGCCCAGTGCAGCGTCTCTGTTCTAAGCGGCCTGTCTCGTCTGCTCCTGCCCCTGCTGCAGGCGTCCGAGAGGCGGCTGCGCCCCATGCCCCAGAAGCAGAGAACGCTCCACGAGAAGATTCTGGAAGAAATCAAACAAGAGAGAAAACTTCGCCCAGTCGAGATCCGGCGCCAGGGTCAGAAAGGTACCGTCCCAGCCCACGCCAGAGGGGAGTCACGTAGCTGCATGGCTCCATCCAGCACCCCCCGGCCTTGCCTCAGCATGTGGAACCTGTGCGGGGGGCCCAAAATGCTGGCTCATCTGTGAGAGTCCTGCAGGGCGCTCCGAAAGCTGCCAGCGAAGAGAAATCATAGGCTCACAGGGAGCAGCTCCAGCCCTAACCCCTAACAGCAGAGGGCGCTCTTGAAACATGACCCATTCCAGATGTTCTGTACAAAACCAAATGCCAGATTAACAGTGCCCAGCACTGGCTGCCAGCAGGGTTTGAACCCAGGACAGTCCCAGAGCCCCCAGCCCGCTCCGCTCCCCTCTCCCCCAGGCAGCGTGCGCAGCTCCTCCCTCCCACCTCCCCGTGCAGCGAGCTCTGTGCTCGGGAGGAAACTCAGAGGCCACTACTGCCCCAGTTTAAGGGGAAGGCATGATGGGCAGCTCTACCCCAAAGGTCAATTCCTTCCCGCTGCCTGCCATCCGGCATTGGGCTGGCCCTCTAGGCCCCATTCGCTGCATGAGTCCAGGTCTTGTGTGGGGCGCTAGCGCCCATCAGCACTGGCCCCCAGCCCCATGGCTGGGGTGAGGAGTTCCCTGCACCGTGCTCTGTCCATGCAGAGAGGTTTCATACTCACTTCCCTCCCATATGGGCTCAGGGGGCAGTTTGAAACTGCAGCCCCCTCTAAGGTATCCCTAGGCCACAGGGAAGCCCGCACCTCTAGGTGAATACCATCCCCCCCTCCTCCTACCAGCCCTGCCCTGAGCACCTGTGTAAGTCTCTCCTCTCCCATGCCTGGCAGGTTTTGGCTCCCTGCCCTGCATCCTTAATGCCTGCTCCAGCGACGTGAAGTCAACCTCCTGCATCAACCTCTCTGTACCCGACTCAAGCACCTCCGCCCAGCGCCTGCGGCCAAGGGTTCTGCTCAAGGCTCCGACGCTGGCCGAGATGGAGGAGATGAATATCTCCGAAGTAAGTGCTGGTTTTGTCTGTGGTCACTGGTGGGAGGGTGCTCAGGACTGCTGGTATCGGTGTCATCTTCTGGGGCAGCGAGGGGATGGCTGGCAGGGAGACACAGCCCTTGACATGCGTGCAACAGCATGGCAGAGGGGCTCTGTATCTGAAAGCCAAGTGCCCTGTGTCGCTTTGCTGGGCAGAGCTCACCTTCAAGCCTGCCACGTGACCCTTCTTGATGTCAATGGCACGGCCCTGCCCCCAGTACGTCAGGAGTTCTTCTGTTGGCTTGGCGGGAGCAAGAGAGGGCTCTACAAGACTGGCTGGGCCAAGGTCAGGAATTGTTTATGGTAAGGGGGGGCAGTCCCTGCCTGCCCCCTGGCAGCCCGGAGGGTATGCCCTGCCTTAGCTCCCCCTGAGTGGGGCCGCAATGGGTTCATGCGGAGAGCCCGAGGCAAGGAGAAGCCCCTACACACTAATAAATAGCATGTGGCCTTCTACTAGAGCTTCAGGCCAGCAGAAAGTTTCTAAGGCCTTCACCACAGGGCCCTGGGTCAGCTCCCAAACTTAAAGTTCACAGACACTCTTTGGGTAAACTGGTTTCCCAGAGCCTGAGGAAAAAACATCCCCCACTGCTACCTGCATGACTTCTGCTCAACTTCCTCTTCCTGTTTCTATAGCCCATCTCTAGGGTGGGGTAGGGCCTCCTTCATTACCCCCTAGGCTAGCCCAGTTGTAGACTTCAGCCTGTCCCTCAAAGGGGTAGTACTCCCATCCCGAGGGCGATGCCTTTCACTTCCAGGTCACCAGTTCAAATCCAGCCCAGGACAACAGGGATTACAAGCTGTTGCTTTCTGCTGGTTGGGAACAGCCTGGGTATTGGTCTCTGGCCATCCCACAAAAACAACCAGCAGAGCTGGCCTCATTAGCAGTGTCAGCACAGAAGACCTCATGGTTGGCTGGACGGGGGGGTGTGGGAGCTTGCACTGAGGCCACACGGCTGGAACTCCAGTGCGTCTTGCCAGCACTAAATTTTTTATTCAAAAAAATGAAGCAACGGCCCCAGGCTCCCAGCTGGGTGGGAGATCAGGCTCTCAGCTTCTCTGGGACTTTTGTTGTGTTGCCTCCTTTCTTGGACTGACTGACCAGTACAGAGTTTGTGTTGGTGTTGTGGTGGCACAATAAAAATGGCAAAAAGTTCAAAATACAAAGTAGGGAGATAAAAGAGAGATAGCTAAGTCAATACAGGAAAAGACTATCAAAAGGGCTTAGGTAGGCATCGTATGGCTGGTCAGTAGTCTTGGCATCAGCAGTGTGGGGTCTGGAAAGTTCTCCTGATAGGCCAGTGCAAGAGGAGCTGCCGTTCCTAGGGGTGTGGTGCCCTCAACTGCATCACAGAGGGCTGTCCCTGAGTCCCCAGGTGAGGCCATTTATCGCACCCTCGCCACCCCTCTCTGAAACAGTGGAGCTTGGCCCGGAGGCAGCGTGGCAGCCTGAAGCCAGGCACTCTCTCACCAAGCTGAGTGAGGAAGGAGTTTCCTATCGAGGAGCAGCTTGTTCCCATTCCTCCATAGAAGTGGTCGGTAACGTGGCTCTGCTGATGAGATGGTGGCGAGGCGCTTCCATGTGTCTTGGACAAGTGCGGGAGGTGGAATATGAGAGAGGGCTGGTAGCCTTTGGCTACTGTTGGTCTCATGGCTTGATTCAGCAGTGTTTGACAATGCAAGTTGAGCATGCAAGTTTATGTAGGAGGCCATGTCTGCTCTTAATCTTCTGAGCTACCTTGGTGAGGTGATCCTTGTAGGTCCGTGTGCGGATTGTGCAAGGGTAGAGTTACTCCAAGACCTACAGGCTTCGGATCATGTGTTAGTCATTCTCCATTCAAGAAAGGGTTGAGTTCTCATGATGCCTTGAGGTGATGGAGACAAAAGCATGATACCACACGGTCTTTGACATACCGGGCTTAAGTCTCTACTTCTTGCAATCGCCACTGACGGCTGCCGTGTGTTAGTTCAGTCTTTCTGTAGTCTCTGTCTCTTGGAATCAGGCAGATGTCATCTGCATTCTTGAATTACCTTGAAATTGTTGCAGGCAGATAATCCATAAATATGATGAAAAAGGTTGGAGCAAGAACAGATAGATCCCTGAGGGAGTCCATTCTTCTGGGTCCGGAATGTGCTCAGTTTTTTGCCTAGTATCACTTGGAATTGTCTGTTCTGAAGCATCATTTCCGTAGCCAGAACAACCCATGGAGGTAAAATCTTGATCCGCAGGCCAGCGTGCCAGACGGTATCATATGTTGCTGTCAAGTTGAGAACCACTGTCCCTGTCTTCTCCTCCTGCTGGAAACCATCTCCTATAGAGGTGGTAAGAGCAAGAACTTGGTCACAAATGCTCCTACTAGGTCTGAAGTCTGCCTGGTCATCACCCAGAGCCACCTCTACTCTGAGCATCCTTCTCCCAGAATTAGTTACTCAAAAGTCTGTAAACATGGCTCAGAAGTGATCTTGGATGGTAGCTAGCTGGGAGGGGTTTCCTGGCTCTGGTGTAGCTGTCGCCCTAGCTTCCACCGTATCTTAGGCATCTTGTCCAGTTGGATGACACAGGATATGAGAGTAGACAGCAATTTGATGCCCTTTTTACCAAGGTGTAGGAGCATTTCTGGAGAGACCTTGTCAAGGCAACCTGCTTCCCTGTGGCTCTGTGCTCTCTCTGCTTCCTTGCTGTGGGCGTCCATGGCAGTTACAGAGCGGCGCTCCGTTTTCTGAGCTCTTTGTCTTTTTGCTCGCTTTACCTGGACAGGGCTAGAAGGAAGCAGCTGATGGTGAGTGATGGGAAGGGGAAAGGACAGCCCTGATGATGGATGGGATCTGTGCAGCCATCTCTCCAGTACCATTTTCCCAGGGGATGGATTGCACCACCCAAGATGCCCTCTCCATGGGCTCTCTGGGCACAGTAGGGTGTTGACGCTGCTCACAGTGGGTGCAGAGGGCACCAGCCAGGCTGGGTCAGGGACCTGGCACTCCAGAAAGCTGCCCATTGGCAGCTGCAGGACAGGGGCACTTTTACAGCCCAGGGCCTGCATGTTCATGTTGCTCTGTATGCCTTTGCAGGAGGAGGAGTCTCCAAGCGCTGAGATGGGGAGGGAGCCTGGCTTAGGGCTCCCCCTGAAGCGTGATCGTTCCTTCTCTGAACAGGACCTGGCCCAGTTCCAGAGCGAGAGGGGCACCAGCCAGCCCGATTCAGGGTTTCTGGCACCACGGGAGTCTGAGCCAAGACCCCGCTCAGGTAGCATGAATACTGCACGGATCAGCATGGAAACCAAGGGCAAGTTCCTCCTACCTTCCCTTCCCTTCCCCTCCCCAGCTGATACAGCCTCCCTGTCTCCCCCCCGCCCCGCCCCCTTCTGGAACTGCACCTGCCTAGAGCAGCTTCTCCGGAGGCACTGGGGATTGCACCTGCAAAGGGGACACAGGTGCGATCCCAGCTCAGGCCGCCATTCCCCCCTCCCCCGCTAATGGAAGGTGCCCCCCCTTAGGAGACTTTGCAGCGGGGTGCCAGGCTCCAGTCAAAGTCCGGGTTTGTATTGGCTTGCCAGGAGCTCCTTTGCATCTCAGCTGCACAGTGCAGAACCCTTCAGTGGTGCTGGAACACTTCTTATAGTGGAGGAGCTGCGCCCCCCCCTTACCCTTACCCTAGAGCCGGGGCCAGGAGCAGGGCCACGGCTCCAGGAGGGGGGGACGCGGCAAGGGAACCGAGGCTGGGGCCACAACTGGGGATGAGCGGGAGCCCCAGGCGCAAGGCGGCAGCTGGGACCTCGGGCACGGAGCCAGCAGCTGGGACCCCGGGAGCAGGGCCAGGAGTAGAGCCCCTGTAAATCCTAGGGGTGCTGCGGCACCCCCGCACCCTTAGTTCCCGCACCTGTGGAGCCCTTTGCTGGTTAGCAATGCCCAGAGTCTTCTGCCCTCTGTGGATGTTGTAGCGCAGCACTGGGCCCCTGCAGGACACCCCAAAACCACCGTCAGGGTTCTCCCTTCTCCCTAAGCTCTGCACCTCTAGAGGACACCTCGTGGCACACGGCCTTTGGCTCTGGCCCTGTTCTGTGTCACTCCCGCATCCGGCTCTGTCCCAGCAAGAAGTGCAGTTGTTGGAGCTCATTCCCCACACTGGCCACTGCCAGACCATTTGCAGCCTCCTTCCCACCAGGCCCCTCTTGGTCCTGGTCCTGGGCCGGAGGGTTCCCAGCCTCCCTCTCGGCTGATGATCAGGGAGGAGCAGAGCTCAGCAGGACTGACTCTGGCTGCCTGCGTTATTCTCGTCCAGGTTCGTTCCCAGCCAGTTACCACCAGATCCCACCTAGCGCTGGTCCACTCACGGCCGACCGCGGCTCCCTCGGGGCTGTGGAGGAGAGGTCAGAGGGCAGCTCCAGCTCCACCCCAGACAGCAGCTCCAAGCATCTGTGGCTGGTAAGTGTCCGATTTGCATACGTCCGAGCTGTCCGGCGCTAGAGCCCTGAGTCATGCTGACCAGGTCCCCCAGTATGTCAGCGAGACGCCCGTTCACAGCCAGAAAACTGCCGACTCCCCGGGGGGGCAGCCAGGCCAGACCGGATTGCACCAGGTTGCCGTGGGGCTCGTGGGCTGGGGCTCAGGCTGCTGCTGGTGGACGGACACCTGTGAGTGGAAGAGGATGGTCAGGCTGCTGGGGCCGGGGGCAGATTCCCCTGAAATTAATTGGACAATGTTGGTCAGTTTGCCCTGAGCTCTGGCCTGGTGCGGCTTAGTCTCTACTTGCAACATTCTTGAAGGAGGGTGAAGCTCGGAGTGGAACAGCAGGGGGCTGCGGGTCGGGATTGAGGGGCATAGCAGAGCTGTGGGTGGGGCAAGCCAGGGCTGGAGTAGTGGGGGCTGCGGGTCGGGATTGAGGGGCATAGCAGAGCTGTGGGTGGGGCAAGCCAGGGCTGGAGTAGTGGGGGCTGCGGGGCGGGGGTGAGGGGCATAGCAGAGCTGTGGGTGGGGCAAGCCAAGGCTGGAGGAGTGGGGGGGGGCG